TTAATTAAATCGTACTCTCGAAAAACGGTACATCAGAAGGTGAGCAAGAGGTGTACGCGGTTTACGATTCTTTCGCATTAATAATCAAGCAATATAGGATTCTATGTACGTGTCGCGCACATTTCTCGCTTTTCCTTTCCGCTGCCTTCTTCTCTCTCTCTCTCTCTCTCTCTCTCTCTCTCTCTCTCTCTCGCTCTCTTTCATTCCTTCATTTTCTCACAAATACACACTCTCTCTCTCTCTCTCTCTCTCTCTCTCTCTCTCTCCCTCTCTTTCTCTCTCTATTGCACTCTTGTACACATACCACTCTTCTTCCTTATTCTTCCCGCAAATATTTTTATCAACTGATGATCTCCATTGTTTCTCTCACCTCGCTCAGCCAAAATCGCGAAAAGACGCGTCTCGAGGGAAAACAGGTCCTCACGCGAGGAATCGGGCGAATCGTAGTTGGTCTTTTGTCTTCTTCTGTTTTTCAATCGCCATCGCCACTTCTCCTCCCTCCTTCTTCTCTAACGCAAATCCCTGCGCCAGGATATTTCATAGTCCTCTCCGCGGATAAGACCCGCTGCTATTTCTCTCGTCGACAGGCCTGATGAATCACCCCTCTTTTTTCTAACCAGTTTCCCTCGGCAGCACTCTTCGTGTTGCCTCAGCTAGATTTTTTCCGTTTCCCTTTCTTCCTTTCTTTCCCTCGCATTCTCTCGCAACGCACCCCTTCGCTCACACGCACTCACACACTCGCAGTCGCATCCCCATTCACACGCACACATACGCACGCACTCGCTCGCTCGCTCGCTCGCTCGCTCGTGTATTCGCGCAACTTCTCTGAACTAAGATATTTAGACAAGAATATAACAGCGGTATAAAAAACTTTTCAACACTGAAAAATACAAATCTATCGTAAATGACTACCATTGTTATTCGTTCCCTCCCACGATTTTTTTCTTCATCAATATGTTTTTTCCTCTTATCTCCTCCTCTCTCTTCTCCTCTCTTTTTCCCGTTACGCACGACTTCGATTATACACGCGATAACCCGAACGACAGTATGGCGGTCCGCTTGTGAGCCGCTCTTTTCGCTACCCCACGTGTGCGATTGCACGCCATGTGTGTATCCGCGGAGGGATGGGTAATAATCATATGCCTCTTCCCACCCCTCTCGCGTCTCGCTACGCAATCTCTCATCCAGCTGTTTTTTTTTCTTACTGTCGTGTCGCGCAATATCTCATTGCCTAATTCACGCGTTCTCTTTTTCCTCTCTCTCTCTCTCTCTCTCTCTCTCTCTCTCTCTCTCTCTCTCTCTCTCTCTCTCTCTCTCTCTTTCTTCCCCTCTCAAAGAGTTTGTCACAATATATTAGATATTTTATAATCGTTATTATCAATTATGTATATATATATATATATATATATTAGTATTTTATATATAATATATATATATATATATATTTATCTATTTATATATAATTGTCATTATATTATATATATTATGCTTTATCACACACATATTACAAAGGAGGTGAAGAATCACACCTAACATATTATTATTATTATTTTGTTTGTGTTATTTTTTTTTGTTTACTGGCGTACCTCAAACGTTAACTCCGTCAAGGGTGTGTGGAGTTTCGTGTTGTTCTTCTTTATTCTATCTATTGCACGCCACGCTTGCAGAGGCGTTTGACGGTGTTTCTGTTGTGTGAGTGTGGTCTGCGTGTAATGTGTGCGTAAAATGAAAATGTGTGTGTATGTGTGGGGGTAAATATGCGCGTACAACGTTACCGCGTCGCGTCGTTTAGCCGTTTGTGTCACTTCTCTCGCTCCTACTCGCTGCCTTCTTCGTCGCGCGCGCGTGATCAATCCGAAATCTCGAAGTCCGATTCTCGATACGCTTACGCGAAATCTGCGAAATCGTCGATAATTACAAATTATATTCAACTCAGAGTGATAGATAAAGTGTACGTCACCGCGATAACAAAATCACCACGGGATTCACATCGCGTTCGTGTGTAAATAAATCTCTAATCGTCTTCCAGCGGTCTTCCGCCTTCGCGCGAGTCGCACGCTCCCATCAGCCGTGCACGCTGAAAATAACTCTGAAATAGCTCGATAAAGCAAGTAATCACTAGCTGTAACTCCGTCGTAAATATCACAAAAAAAAAAAAAAGGAAAAGAAAAGGAAAGAAAAAGAAAGCAAAAAAGGAAACACGCGACTATCCGTCGTGCTAAGTGTAACCGAGCTCTCGAAGCGCAATAGGAAAGTAGGAAACAAATTCTAACTAACGAAAAATCCACCCACGAAAAGGACATCGAACGTCCGCCGTGCGTACGGCGTGCTCCTACACCGTCACGATTATCCCCTCCGATCTAGATCGACATTTCCGCGGAGTGTCTTCTCCCGGATCCGCGTCTCGCGACGACGAGCGAGAGGTCGCTCGCGAACGGCTCCCGGATTGGACAAATCGCGACATTCTCGAGCGAGAGACGGGGATGCCCGGCTGCTCTCTCGTCCTCGCGACAGCGTTTCCGTCGCCATCCACAGCCCCACCGACGACCGATCCTTCGGTCCACCGAATAGACCGCAAGTGATATGTTCGCGTTGCGCGATCGCACGCACGAGACACGACGGCTCCTCGACGACGACGTTGCGGCACGAGAGTGTTTCCACGCGTTTCGCGACGGATAATGCTGGAGAGCGAGCCACCTTTCTTAGCTCTCTTTCTCCCCTCGGCAGAGATCTGCCGGACAAATCGCGACGATTGCTGGCGAAACACTCGGCCGTATCCCGTTTCCCATCGTCGAACATGACTCGACTGAATGCCAATCGGTCAGATCGTCGGATCTGCTGCGCATCCTAACGGGGATCTGTAAAAATTCGGGATTGTGCCGACAGGGGAGGAGATACGACCGCGCGCGCGACTACAATGTCGAGCTCGCTTCCGCGCTCGGCTCAGCGAGAGAGAGGGGGAGAGGGAGAGAGAGAGAGAGAGAGAGAGAGAGAGAGGGGGGGGGAGAGAGAGAGAGAGAACCGATCGCGTTTAAGGCCGGTCTCTGAAAACCTCACGGGCGCACCTCGCTCTGTCGCTCGTCGTGCGCTCTTACACGGAATTACAGCTAATACGCTTCTTTCCCCCTTCGTTGCGCCTTAATTCGCTAGCAGAAAAATAAGTGTCTCGCACAAAGAGGTACACGATGCCGGGGAAGCGGAAGGTGGAGGGCGGGAGGCAGGGAGCAGAGACGGATGATTATCAATCGGATGGGGGAGAGGGGAGGAGGATCGAAATCCGCGAAACGACCCGAGTACACACAGCGAAATTGAACATTTAGCTAGACATCTATATCCAAAGAGACACGACCGTAGTTCACAGTGTGGAGAACGCGCGCGCGCGTGTGTGTGTGTGTGTGTGTGGGTGTGTATGTGTGTGAAAGATAATTGGTAATTAATTCGAGAGAAAAGTTCATGCTTTCGTGGGAGCCTCCTTACAGTCTCTTCGTGTGCTAATGTGTTGCGACACGAAGGAAATGATACTTTGCTCAATTGTGTGAATATGTGTGCGTGCGTACGCGCACGTGTGTATGTATGTGTGTGTGTGTGTGTGTGTGTATATGGGTATATTTGGAGTGGCTTGAAGAAAAACGTGTACTTGATTTTTCTGCCGCGTCACATTGTGTATGGTTGCACATGTACGACGTGGTACGTTTGTATATGTGTGTGTATGTGTGCGTGTGGCTGTGTCGATCAGGATTATGCGTGCCTTCGTGCTCCTGCAACAGGATACGAAGCGAATGTCTCGCGTGTGACGGGGGGCGACACGTCTTGTCCTCCTTTCTCGCTCGCTTCTCCTCTTTTTTTTATACGTTTTATCCTTTTTTCAACATTAGAAAAATTTGTCTAGAAAAATCGGTCACGGTCCTCGTCCAAGTACTCGCGCGCTCAAGTATTGGAACACGACGCTACTCTCTATATAATATATATTTATATATATATAATATGTATATCAATATATATACTTTTAATTATCAATTGATTTAGGTAAATTGGTACCTAGGTAAGTTTCGCTACAATTATATCGATCGATTAGTGAAGGATGTGTGTGTATGTGTATGTGTGTGTGTGTGCGTGTGTGCATGTGGTAATGCATATATATGTTCCGCGTGTGTGTCACGCGTACACATACGTTCTAATGCATACGTGTGTGTGTGTGTGTGTGTGTGTTTTGTGGCGGCGCACAAGCGTCTTGGACGACGCGTACTTGTTCGTGCTCCTCCGCGTAATGTGGGATAAGAAAATTTTTCGCCTAATATATGGAGCCGGTTCGCGCGCACGCACAATTCGCACGTGCGGATCTGCACGCAAACACACCAGCGCTTCATATACATATATGTATATATATAAATTTACGTGCACGACACATATCATCGTAACCGCGTTTTAATTTATTTACTTCCACTGCGTGTGCCGCACAGATTATGCCATTCTCGCACTCTGTCTCTCTCACACACACTCTCTCTCTCTCTCTCTCTCTCTCTCTCTCTCTCTCTCCGTCTCTTTCACTCTCTCTCCTTCTCTCTCGCACGATTTACAAGAACGATGGCTCGTATGTAAAATTGCGCTAACTAATACTCGCGTTCGTCTTCTCTCGCCTATCTCGTCGCGTCTTTCTTCCTCCTCCGTTCTCGCGATCTTTTCCAAGTCGCTCACAAAATGTGGTCTCTTTTCTAAAAAAAATCGCTTCTTCCTCCTCCTCCTCCTTCTCCTGCTCCTCCTGCTTCTCCTCGATTCTTTTCTCGTTTTCTTTTCTTTCTTCGGTCGAAACTTACGAAGAATTTCGTCGAGTGCGTAAGAAACGGTCAATTGTCTATTTAGAATATTGCGATAGCAACGGATAGAAAAATTCAATATATTCCTTCTATCAACTAATATATGTATATGTGTACAATTATACCTAACGCTTGCTCCTCTAGCCCTCTTCCCCATCCTCCAGCCCGAAAAACGTCACTCAGCACGAGTGACGCGCACTCGACGAGTCTCTTTTGTCCTCTTCACCCTACACCATCCCACTTTTATCGTTCTATCTATCATCTCCCGCGTCTTCCGATCAGACTCGATCGATCCGATCTGTTCGTCGATCGCGATCGGATATTATCATCCCTTCGGTCTCTGCCAATGCTTCATCGAAAAGCGAGTCAAAGAGGGCTGCAAGCAGAGAAGCGCTTCCCTCTTCTCACCGTCTCTTCCCTCGCTTTCCACAGCCATGTTCCTCATCTTCCACATATTTTGCTATCTTATTATTCTCCCTTTTACAACGCGACTCCCGTCCACATTGAATGCATTTACGCGTTCTTCGTGTCCTCGCGGGCCAAATAACGTGTCTTAGACGAAGGGACGGAGGGTCGTCGTTGAACGCGGCCGTTATTCTCTTTCTCTCTCTCCCTCTCTCTCTCTCTCTCTCTCTCTCTCTCTCTCTCTCGCTCTGCCTACGTCTCGTTATCTTTTTTTCCGCACCACCTTTCCCACCTATAAAACGCGTTTCCCCATGCGGTGTCCTAAATCGCCGCCTAATCTCTACACGGCGAGACAAGATAGTATATACAAAAAGGAGTACCAAAAAAATAAATATATATGTATATATATAGATGTGGAAATTACTTTTTTTGTCCCTTCTTCCTTAGATCCACGTACGCAACGTATATCGTAATCCGTTGGTCGTATTAATCGCCTGTACGTGTGTACATGTGTTGTGCCGTGTGTCCTTCCGTGTGTTCTCGTGTCCGTCTGAATTGCATACGTATATACTTATGTTTCCTCACGCGATCATGATATCGCCCGCTCGCTAACATCTATATGCACGTGTCGTATATGCGTGTGTGACAAAGAGACCGATACGCGTGTAGAAGAAGAGTATCGCGAGAGAGACTCGTCATAAGAGGTCAACTACGTCTTCCCGGCTGCTGCTGCTGCTATGCGGTTTTTTGTCTTTTTTTCATCTACCAAGCGGAGCGCACAACGTCGCGTATGAATTCCGAGCGCGACGCTTCCTATTCCTCGACCTTTGTCTCTGCCTTCCTTTCTCACTCTCTCACTCATCCTCTCTTTCTCTTTCACACGCGTGCGCGCGTACGCGCGCGCGCACACACACACACACACACACACACCACGCGCGCGCATTCTTCTCACTCGTGCTCTCTTTCCACTCCATCTTTCCACTCTCGCGAGAAAAATCCCGTCGACGGAGCGACCCGCGGCCTATTGTCGCAAGTATTGTGAGACGCTTTTTTTATACAACAAAAGGGTCGTTGAAAGATGATCCGGTATTAGCTCTAAAGCCTGTGCCTACTAATTAGTTATCAAAAGTATCCTAAAAATATCAAATATATCGTCAAACGGGTCTTTTGTTTCTCGAGACTAGCGCAGCCGCGCTCCGACCGACCGGATCCTCGAAGACGCGGCGAAACGAATTCGCGATCGAGATCGAGCTCGTTGCGGAGGTCGTGATTCTAACGGCGACGAATTGTACGCGTCTCGGGAAGCTGTGTTTTCGTAACGGGCAAAAAGTCGCATCGAAAAATCGTTAATTAGACCTGCCGGAGTCTCCGTCTCTCCTCCTCCATGGAAAAGGACGCGCGGTAGGAAGCATCGCGTTTCTCAACGAGATCACCCGAGTTGCCGGCTGTGTTCAAGACTGTCCGCACTCTGAGCTTCCTCGCGGGAATAGAAACCGCGAACAGCGGCGCGGCCGGTCTCGCGGTTGAGCTTTCTCGCTTTCCCTCTCTCGGCCCCTCAATCTTCCTCTGCTCGCGATACTAACAGCGATTGCGTCATTGCGTTTGATTATATACACCGAGCGAAGAAGTTTCGTTTGCTTGCTGGGATTAAAGAGAAAATCGTGCACATTCGGTCGCGCGATCAACAATAAGATGATTCGTCGGTTACTTTAATCGATCGGTTAAAAGTGGCGGGGCGGGGGATCGGTGTCGGTATGTACAAGGAGCGACAACATGCGGCTCTAATACGAATCTAATTATAGTGTTTCGCGCGAAACGCGACCCCTCGGACGCGCCACATGCACGCACACACACAGATATACACACACGCACACATTCTTCCCCCAACATCTATCGGACGTATGAAGAGTAAGAGTTAGGTACGATCTCTACAGAGAGATATATCGCTGTTTTATGCTTTTTCCTCTTCTCCCCCTCTCTCTCCACCGCCTACGAATCGCGGTAAAGTCGACCGCTACTTTGGTTTCGAGAACGGTACTCCCGGCACGTGACGTGACGCGCCTCTCTCGCTCGGTCTCCTCCGCCACGGGAAAAGATCCGCGAGGCGCGCGTCGCTCGTCGTTCTACCGAAAAAAAAAAAAAAAAAAACAAACAAAGAGGAACGTACGGGCCCAGACGCAGAATATTCGATACGTTCCACCTAGCGCCGAGCGTCGGCACGCGACGACCTAAGCTTAGTACGACAAACAATATCGAACATTCTCCCTAGACGTCCGTCTCGTGGATACTCGCATACTTTTGTACATCATCATTCTCTATCGTCATCGAGTGACTTCAGTCTCGAGCCGATCGATCGTCTCGTCGGTACGGAGAGTGACTGTTTATTGCACACGTGGTAATAATAGTTAGTAGTAGTGGTAGCAGTAGTAGTAGTAGTAGTAGTAGTAGTAGTAATAAAGTCTCAGGGTGTGTAAAATTTATCCTACTCACTCTCGCGCACAGGAGCCGCCTTCGACCTTCGTCCCTCTTTTTTCGCGACGCGAGCAGCGGCCACCCTCTCTCTTTCTCTCGTCTCTTAGCCTGGCCTCTCCGCCGTTCCACTCTTGCTCTATTCTCCGAGAGCGAGAGACGCGACGAGAGAAGTTCGCCTCGCGCCATGTTCCCTTCTTTTCCCGCGAAGGCTCGTTGGGAAGGTCGCTGCTCACACCGCTTTGGAAAGTATTGGCAGAGAATCCGGTACGACTAATGTAAGCAGGTCTGGACAACCCGGAGCACGTCCGTACGGTACGGACGCACACGACCGCTTCACGCTCTCTTTCTTTCTCTCCTTCTCCTCTTCCCTCTCTCTCTTCTTCTCTCTCTCTCTCTCTCTCTCTCTCGCGCGCGCGCGCGCGCGCGCGCGTGTGCGTCGAAAATTGAACTATCGGTATCAATGACCTCCGTTTACAACCCTTCCTTTCGTCGTCTACGTGACTCATTGGTTTCTCTTTTCTAGACTCTCCATTTGTCCCGTTTTTATGTTTCTTCTTTGTTTATATTCCACTTTCGATATTTCCTTTTACTCTTGCTCTCACTCTCGCTCACTCACTCGTTGACTCGTTCTCGCTCATTCACCCATCCATCCACTCCTTCTTTCGCTCATACTCTCTCTTTCTCCCTACCTCTCTCTCTCTCTCTCTCTCTCTCTCTCTCTCTCGCTCGCTCTCGCACTCGAATAAGTTAATTAGTAAAAAATCATTTTTTCTTAAGTGTCTCCCTATACGGTCGCGTTATCCGCGCGAGAAACGCGTTGCACAACGTACCTATATGTAACATATTTTAATAAGTCCTTAATAACTAGAGACTATGTGTATGTCTGTTTGTGTATGCGTGTGTGTGTGTGTGTGTGTGTATGTGTGTATGTTAGATGTGTGTTGTGTGTTATACAGAGAATTATCTAATACACAGCGGTTTGAAGCGTGGCTTTTTTTTTCCATTATCGATTAACATCCAATGCGAAAACACGGTGCGCCTCTCGCTCCCTCTCGCCGTCGCTCTCCTCCGAGTTTCCGCTACCGCGACGCGTCCGCGCGCATCGTTTTCCTTCTCGTAGCTTCCTCTCTCGCGCCTTCGCTACCTCACGCTTCGTTCTCACGCATCTTCCTTTCGCTCTTCCTTTCATTTCCGTCCTCTCGTCCTCCGGCTAGTCTCTCGCTCATTCGCTGACATACTTTCACGTCGGATCAGATACTCGCGTCGTCGATCGTCTGTCGCGCGGAGAGACTCACCGCCGCCGCATGCGGAGCACGTGCTCTCACTCGATCTTGCGCGAACAACGGCCGGACCGCAGCGCGCTCCGGTCGGCGGAAAGCCGCTCGCCGCCGTTCGGGTCGCGTTCCGCGAACCAAGAGCGGACTTCGGCTGTCGGAGGATGCGGCGGACGCGAGTCCGGAGGAGAAGCGACCGCGGCTCGAAGAAGCTCGCGCTGTCCTCGCGGCGAGGAGAGCGAGACCGCGAACGCGAGAGGGCCAAGCCGGATCGCACAAATCGCGCTGGCGACATCGTAAAACACTCGAGGAGGATCGGCCGACTCGACGGCGGGGTGCGTGCGCGAGGGCGGCCCCCCTCCCCCTCTCTCGCTCCTCGAGAGACGCGGTAACTAAGATACTCGATCTCGGACAGAACCGGTGCATTTTACAGACAGCGCAGACAGATAGTATTATATGTACGAGTAATCGATATACTGAGAATCCGTGTCCGTGTTCTCTTCTGTCCTGGTCTCGGCGTGTGTGGTGTGTGTTGTCTCTCTCTTTCTCTTCTTCCGGCGACGATGTCGGCCCGATCGCTGCTCCCCCGCCGCGTCTCCCACCGTCGAGGAGCGCATGATCGCCGTTACGTTAACGGGTGAAGGCCTGCTCGACGATGACGATGATAACGGAGTGTCGCGACCGACACTCGCATGAGCGAGTCGTTGCGAGGTCGCGGGCAGGGTCGCAGGTAGCAGGTCGGAACGACGCTCTGAGAAGCATCGGCTGACAGGCAGCAGCGGCTGACTTTTTTTTTCGTCCAGTAACCGGTACAACTTGAAGTAGTAGCAGTGGAGTAATAGTAGTGGTAGTAGTAGTAGTAATAGTAGTAGTAGTAGTAATAGCAGTAGTAGTAGTAGCGGTAGTAGTAGTAGTAATAGTAGTAATTTGTAATAGAATAGTAGTAGTAGAGTAGTAGTAATAGTAGTAGTAGTAGTAGTAGTAGTAGTAGTAGTAGTAGTAGTAGTAATAGTAGTGGTAGTAGAGTAGTAATAATAGTGGTAATAGTAGAGTAGTGGTAGTAGTGATGATCGAGTGGTAGTAGTATTAATAGCGGTTTTCAGGCTGTGTGTTCTTGTTGTTGTAGGTAAGTAAGTAAGTAATAAAGGTGGGTAGGAGGGTGAGGGTTCGGGGGCACGTGAGGGGAGGCAGGAGGGTACTGGTGGATAGAGGTGGTAGTTAATTAGCTAGGGCTGCGAGATAATTAGGGACAACGCAGCTGGGGTTAACACCAGCGGAAAGGTACGGCCCGAGGCCGATCCGCGCCTTCCTTCACCAGTGGCTTGTGGAACTCCCGACCTGGCCGGGAGTGGATAGTCGCCCAACAGTGTTCGCAGTAGTACTGGAAGCAAAGAAAGTGTTGACTTAGACAGTCGGCCGAGTCAAACGCAAAGTGTGCGAGAAGGTCAGTCGAACAGTACAGTTCGAAAATGTACAGCTTCATCTCGACGGGTTTTCATTCAATGACCTTCGAGGTCATTCGCTTTGACTCGGGGATTGAAATGATTTGGATCTTCTGCGTAGCTTTTTCTTTCGTTACATAACAATGATGATGAGCAACCTAATAACATACCTGTAGGCAGGTGACGTTGGCGCAGAAGAATGGCGCAAACTTGCCACCGCAACGCTGACCTTGACATTCGTCGCACATCTGATCGTCCAGAACGTACGGTTTGACTTCGACCTGTCGGAAAGATTGCTCGTCAGTTTAGAAAAAAACAAGAGAGACATATAGGGGAAGAAAGAAAGAGAGAGAGAGAGAGAGAGAGAGAGAGAGAGAGAGAGAGAGAGAGAGAGAGAGAGAGAGAGAGAGAGAGAGAGAGAGAGAGAGAAAGAGAAAGAGAGAGAGAAAGAGAGAGAGACAGAGGCTGCTCTAGAGTGTCTCGGAACAGGAGCGGAGTTAAGCTCGTTTAATTCCCCGAGTACCATTCCGTGTCTGAAACCGATCTCACAAATCACGGACTTGCTCCGCTCTTGCTCCGAATCCCCTGCTTAGGGGAATTATTCGTTTTAAGCTTTCGAAGCATTTAAATCTCCATTAAAAACAGGAAAGAAAGAAAAAATTAAAAGAGAGAGAGAGAGAGAGAGAGAAAGAGTTGAGCTCGAACAAGTACAAATTCTTTTTTCCCTCTTCCCGGTCTCTCGTCTTTACCCTCTTGTCAATGTCGCCATGCTGCAACTGCACGAAGCGGGCCGAAATGGCAGCTATGTAGCTTTGCTGATTGCTGAAGGCGACTCTGCCGGCTCCTTTGGGGTACTTGAGCTCCGGATCGGTGTCGATGCCAGCGTAACAGACGCCGCCGTACAGCCGGTCCATGATCATGGCGAGCTCCACGGCCTTGAGCGGCCGAGGCACGCCGCCAACAAAGACAGTCTTACGCGGATCCAGCGGCATGGATGCGTCCAACACGAAATCAGCGTCGCTAAGCCGCCATGGTCTGATTTGTACAGGTTTATCCTTAATCGTGGGCGAGCTTACGCATAAGTAAAGCTTGTCCTCGTCCTGAATGCAGGCGTCTATCAACTGCTGCACCGAGCCTTCGTCCTGGAAATTCGGGCACAAAATCTAGGTTAGTCGCGGATGAACGATACGTTGAAGAATCGGCAAGGAGGGGGGAGGGAAGGAGGGATCAAAAGAGCGCAAACGAATTTCTCCCTCGATTCCCCTCGCTTCCAAAGTAGCATCATCGTACCTGGAAAAGCAGAAACGCGTAACCCTTCGGGGGGAAGTAGGATTTGCTTTCTGCCTTGTGCGGCCAATCCACCACCAGGGGACCAAATCGCCGGAAACTAGCTGTGATCTCGTCTGTCGGGGAGAGAAAGGGGAAATATTATTCTCCCGTCGCGCGAGTTCAATTTCTACAAATTATAATACGTCGCTTGACGGATTACTTTGTTGCTCGCTCAGTGCGCACTGAGAAAAAAATTGTATTAAAATTCAACAAATATTTGCTCGAATACGACTGGTGAATACATTTGTTCAATTTATTAAGCGACTAATTTCGAAAATGAACAGAGGTTCTCTGAATGTAAACTTTTTCTTGAATTTTAGAAAATAATGCTTGATTTAAATAAATGTATTCACAGTCGTATTCGAACAAATATTTGTTTCGTTTTAATACAATTTTTTCTCAGTGTGTGCGCGTGTCGGTACTTTATTTATTAATATCACACAGACACTTGTTACAGTAAATTCACTACTTCGGCGACTTCCGCCGAACGAGCGTACCTTCGTCGATGTCAGGTGGCAGGCCGCCGACGAAGACTTTCCTGGAGAAACGTTCGCCCGTTTCGCTGCCCTGGCTGTGCGGACTGCTCCGGCTCGGCGATGAGAGCGGCGCCGTCTGGGACGCGGTTATACCGCCGCCCACGCCGACGCCGACGCCGACGCCGACCCCGACGCCGACTCCGACGCCGTCCAGCTGGCTCGGCGCGTTCGGGTCCTCCAGCAAAGTAGCGCTCTGATCCTCGAGACTCGGGAAGAACGGAGATTTACCTGCGGACAGAGAAGCATCGTTCCACGTGAGTGACTCGATTATCCGGATCGCCGCGGGGAAGGGAACGCCTGACGACGTTGGATTTAACGAGGGGACGTGTGTCTTAGACCGAGTCGGAACGGAGAATTACGTGGTGGTGGGGAGCGAAGACGGGCAGAATAGCATGCAAAAATAACGGCCGTTGATAAAACGAGGCTTTTACGACGAGATTAAACGATGCCTGCGCGCTTCGCGCTTTTGCGTGACGAGCGAGTGTGAATCACGCGCGCGCGCGCGCGCGCGAGAGAGGGAGAGGGAAAGAGAGAGAGAGGGAGGGAGGGAGAGAGATCGCTATAAATCGTCCGCGGGAAATCAAGGTCCCTGGTGTCTGACATTCGTACGCTTCTGGGTACTTCATTATGCAATTGTGCGGAATCACGTAATAAGCGCGGCGGCAGGATGCGGGCAGGGGGGACAGGGGGGAGGCCAGGGCACAATCGCGTATTATGTGATACGCAGCGCGACGCAGCCGCGTGCATAATGGCAACCGATGTAACTCGCCTTCGATGTCTCTCTCCGTTGATTCCTCCCCTTCCTCTTGTCTCCTCACTCGTGGAACCGGAAGTTCGCGTGACGTACGCGTGAAATGTAGTCCCGTAAAAACGTAACGCCTCCTCACGTAATTACGCCCGGCGCAGCCTCTGGGCTCGTCGCCTGGGCACCGACTCCCAGCGGAACTTCACCTCGGCCTGCGAGAGAGGAAAAGCTCCGACGAGTCGGATCGCGCGAGCGCTCGCGAGAAAGTGCCCCCTTCGAGGGAAATAACTTTTCCTCTCGGGAACTTCCCTCCCTCGCCGCGCGCGGCATCGGCCTTCTTCCCCTCCGATCGGAGATCGCGGAAGCGCGCGCGATGGAAGTCGGTCACCCAGCGCGCGAACTCGTCCGACGTCCACGAAGAAGCGCGGAAAGGGGATACTCACTGTATCTCCTTCTGATGGGAAACCTCGCCCTTCTGATAAACGTTGCCATGCTCGCGACGACGACGACGACGACGACGACGGCGGCGACGAGGACGGCGAAGACGAGGACGACAACAGCGGTGCGTCGGGCTCGAGATACGAGAAAACGATAACGCGAGACTCGCGGTTATGCTATCTCGTCCGCGTTGGGCGCCGTTTGTTTTCTCGCTGTCGTTAAGGGAAGGGAAAAAAAAGAAGGAACGACGTTAAACAGAGAACAACGCGCATGAATGACTCCAGACACGCAGGCAGGTCAGGCAGGCCAGGCAGGCATAGCAGGCATAGCAGGCAGACGTCGCCTGTCGAAAGCGGCGAAACAAGCGAGCACGAGGCCGCTGTTGTTCTCCACGTCGCACGATGCTCACCTTCTTCCATTTCCGCACGAACGTAATAACGTACGCGCTCTCGCTCGCGAAGGCCGCGCGGCTCTCCCCGCCGCCCGCGCGATTTCGCACTCGAGCTTGCCCCCCGCACTGCCGACGCACCGCGTCCCCTGAGAGCCGTCGCGAGCTGAGACTCGAGAGTACCTCGTACAGGTGAACACTCTCGGCTGAACGAGCCGAGCGACGCCGAGCGTCGAGAGGGCTTCGCAGCCAGGAGAACGCACACCGCGCGCGTCGTCGACGCGGGCCGGCCGCGAGCGAAGAAAACTCGCAGGAGCGTTTCCGCGAATGTCGGCTGGGCTCTCGGCATCGAGGCCGACGATGTTCGCGGGAGTAACGGAGAAATAGGAACGGGTCGGGACGACGATTTCTTTTGCCCTGTTTAACGCTCGACCTGCGAAGTACGCGCGACTTTCGTACGGCGAGAGAGCCGGCGCTGCGGGGAGGCGGGAGGGACGCGGCGCGGCGGGGATTACGTAAGGACCGGGCTCGTACATACCGGGGCGTGTGCGCGACTACACCTGTAATTTCAGGTGCGAGATATTTAAGCGCGCCGCACACCGGCACCGACTCTCGGAGAAGCGCCGCGCGAAAATTGCCGCGTCGTCGAGATCTGGAAATCCCGCATCTTCAATGCCTCTGTACTCCTATTCAGCGCTAACTCGATACTCGGGAGAATCTGCGCATTAACCTCTTCCCGGCCCGTCCCGTCGCATTTAACCTGCAGCTTCGCCGAGAGCTCCGGCTCTTGCGAATCCGCAAACGACCAGTCGTGCGTTTCCTGCCATTTCGTGGCGATGACTGAGAGACTCCCGTTTCCGTACAAATGAAATCTCCATTCATCCTCCGGGATATGTAGAGAGAGAGAGAGAGAGAGAGAGAGAGAGAGAGGTTCGGAGGTTCAGGTTGGAAACCGAACCGCCGAATGTTCGCTCGCGAGACCGATCGTCATCGTCGCGGTTCTCTTCCGCACGCTCCGACTCGACAAAACGGCGCGCCACCCATGAAAAGTAATTTTGGGACAAGCGGAATCATTTTAATTTTGGAGGATTTTATTTCTATGCACGGCCTGAAGAGGATTTGTCTAGGATTAGGAGGGAAATATTATTCTTAAAGTTAGAGGGATTGTATATATAATGCAAATCTTATTGATTTTAATATAAATTTCCTCTTATCTTAGACAGATTATTTGATCTTTTTTCAAGAGGATTATTATTTATTCTTATTGTACTTTATTCTTACCGGTTATACTAATTCATTTGAAAAAAATTATTGTAATGTACAGTGCAAAGTAATATACAGAAATATAGATTCTATAGATAGATCAGGGGTTCTAGGGGTGCGAGGAAAAGTGATTGTAATTAATAATGATTCAGATAAATTCTGGAATAATCCGGCATTTTTACCATCAAATTAAAAAAAATGTTATTAAAATTATATATTTTTTACGTATCTGTACGTATATATTCATTACGTGTCACTATGCGAAGCTTGATAACATGGATAATAATTTCATAATATTAAAATGATAGTTAATTTCTATAAAACAATACTATGTAATAATAAATTACTATAAATTAACTTCTCACCTTAAAACCCCAACAACTAATTTTTACCATAAAACGTACGAATAACTTTTTGTTTGTACGGAGTGCGAAGGTTCATTAATAAAAATTTTAAGGGTGCAAAATACAAAAAAACGTTGGGAAACTCTGTTATAGATGTGCTTCTGGCTTCAGTTCTACAATAAGTAGGCACAAATGAAATAAGATCGTCATAACAAACAAATTTCCAATCGGTTTTGTTATGGACTTCATAGCTACAAAAATGTTCATCATCATAACCAATTGTACGAAACACAGTTCAAAGAAAGAAAATATTATTCAATTTCTTCCGACAGATTATAAATTGTATTTGACCAAACATGGGTAAATTATTTTCGTTATATGTTGCAGCAACACGCATATACCTTTTTCAAAAAGCCTTCCAATGTCTGGAGGTAAAGCATGACTGAACAAAAGAAGCCGCCATCCAGATCCAACATATTCCTCTTCTTATAAGAGGAAAGTTAATTCATACAAAAAGGGGGGGAGGGGGGATCCTCTTGAAATAAGAGGAAAACAGAATAATATCTAATAAATTTTCGGTGAATGCTTTACTTTAATCGCTTCATCGAAAGAGAGAATCCCTCTCCTGTAAAAGGCTTCGCTTAGAATATGACACTATGGGAAAAATCACTTCGCAGATAGAATACCTTCCTTTGGGTGAGGGATCGCCCTCTCGCTCCCGCCTGATATCTGATTTCAAATTTCGCAGCTAAAGTCCGATTCGGGCGAGAAGTCCCCTCGGCAAGAGAAAGCTTCGGCGACGTCGTGCACCGGGAGATCGCCTCGACACACGAGACTCGAAAACGACCTTGCCGCACGAGCCGAGTTCGCGCACCGGGGAATTGCGATGAACTGATATAATTCCGCCTCTCACAATAGCACCGCCGCTAACCTCCGTGTGAACGATACTTTACACTCCGTGTCGCCGTGATCGTCCTCGTCGTCTTCGGCGCTCGTGTGTACCCTCCTCGCCCTCCGCGCCTTACACGCATTAGCATAAATACTCCCGAGCGCGGGCGCGCGTCTATAATTCACCGGCGAATCGATAACACGTAAACGAACTCTCGAACTCGCGTGCGAGGATGAGTTAACGCACTCCGCGGCATCTCCTGCCGATTCCTCGCCGCGGCGGCGGCATCCTTTTCTCGGACCCTCGGAGCGTTCTGCAACGCCGTAGTACGTTAGCGATTACTCGCCTTGCGACACGGGCTTGTTCTTTTTCCTCTCTCTCTCTCTCTCTTTGATCGGAGCCCATGTCACCGCGCGACCGGCGCGTCCTCCGCCGCGCGGAAACGGCCATCAGCGATTTCGCGTCGACGAGACGGACGCGCGCCTGCGAGGTAAGTCCGAGGCGCATTTCGAAATCGGCGAATCGATCTCGCGATTTCGCCGCGTAAGAAAACTTCATTCAGACCATGATATCTGGGTCGGCTGCTCGCTCCGGTGCTTCGACGGCAGTTTCAAGAGTGAGGGCCCGTGGCGAAATCGAAGCAGCAAAAATGTAACGCGGATCTTATCGGGCTGCGGGCGGTGCCTGTGTCATCTCGGACTAATTCGCACTCCCCCGCCCCTCTCTCTCTCTCTATATCCATCCATCTATCTGCCTCTTACCGAGTTTTCCGAAGGGACTCCGCGACTCGCGTTTTTATCGAGTTAGGCGATCCACCGCAGCGTCGACTTTCACGAAACGCAAACGTCCAGCGGCCGAAAGTCGCAGAAACCGGCTCGCTGAGAAGCCGAAGCGCGCGCCGTCTCGTTCGTCTCGTTTCTCAATGAACAAACGTCCGCTCGCACACGAAGGAGAACGGAGCTCCTCGTCCCCGGCTGGACCTCGGCTCGGCGACGTCCGCTCGCGGGAGACCGATCGCCGTCTTCGTCGTCGCGGTTTTCTCCCGCACGCTCTGATTCGACAAAACGGGAATCGTCCTCTCGCTCCTGCCGTATCAAATTTAAAAGTTCGTCGGAGGAGAGCTGAAAGCCGTCGATGGCGCGGCTCCGCTCGTCTCTCTCT